AATACAGTAAATATCTTTTGCAACAGGGAGTACTAAAAAAAAAAAAGTTATTCACCAAACCAAAAGAGTAACCTGAATCCATTCAGATATGCATTTTTTTTTCTCCTGAAGCATTTTTTATATCATTAAGGACAGAAAGTTGCGTCGCCTTCCAGACAAATTTAAGAAAGCGATTCTTTTCGTTAAAAAGCGACAAGTTGTTTTTAAAGCTTTAAATGTTTTACCAGGTCTTTCTCAAATAAATATGGTACATATAAAGTGACACGTCTCAAAATAGAAAGCTTTAAAACCGCAGAAATATGTGCATAACGGAGAATCTGACACAAAAATGATGCGCCACCTCAGAGTTTTAGAACAATTTTTCTGTATATTTTTATTATCTTTTGAGTCTGAGCTTCATCGTTGTCTTTAAAGAATATACTATTAAGTTGACAAGAAAACTGAAGGGAAGTAACATTAATGGCATCACATCCCTTTAACAAAACATAACAACACTGATGTCACAAACCAGAAAAAAATGACCATTTATTTTCAAAAGTAGACTCTTATTACTGACACAAAGCGTACATCTCCTGGTTGGTGAGCAGAGAGCTGCTGCTTTTAAGGTCTTAGCCAATCCAGATGCACAAAATAATAATTTTCACAAGATTTACCAAACGATGAGGAGGATGATGATGGAGGTCAAGGACGATTGGAGGAGGATGAAGGTAGCCATTGTTTATTTGTTTGTTTTTTACACATTTGTCCGACACTTTGGGAAGATGGGTCCTCCCTCAAGCCTTCTCTTTCTTACTGCAGACGGAGAGAACAACTCAGAGTTACAAAGATAAGCCAAGCACAAAACTAACAAGAATTTGATCAGATATGAATTTCACAAATCTGGCCTGTATGGAAAGGAGGGAAGAAGAAAGCCATTTTGTTTAGAAGAAAAAATATGATAAGTCTTATTTGCAGTTTGCCACAGGTTATGTAGAGGACACAGCAAGCGTTTTGTAGAAGCTGCTCTGATCAGATGGGACCAAATGAATGAGAAAATGTACAAAGTGATGAGTGCACCTCATTCTGAATAAACCATGCCTTCTGTAAAACACATGGAAGAGTAAAGTTTGAAAGAGCATCAAGATAGGTCTTATATTAAAGCAGAGACATTTCAAATTGCATTTAGTCATTTACAGAAAAGAAACAGCTGAAAAGCAGAGAGAGTCTTTCAAAGAAATAAAAAAAAAACTCTCTGAAACTGGGCAGTGGGAAAACAGAGAAACAAAGGAATAGAAATGTTGAAAAAAAAGAAGAGAAATGCGAGATACTGACCAGAAAATATAGAGAAAAAAACCATGAACAAAAGGTTTTATTTTGAAAGGAGCTGAAAGTTGAACACCCTTTGAACAACCGGTGCCATGAAGATCCTCAGGGTTACATACCAGCAAATGAATATCCAATATAGTGCTAATGACTCAGAACTTCATTTACTGTCATTGTGCACGAAGAAAGCACAGCAAAATTACTTTTGCAACATTTCTACTTGGTATAAAAATTGTATTATATTATTATCATTATTAAAATTTAATTTTTGGGGATTTGGCTCCAGGTAGGGTCACTTCGGTAACAGAGACGTTAGCGATTGCCATAGATGGAAGGCATTTGATCAGACTACTTCCAGGTTTCCTCTGTTTGAAAGCTTTACAAACATCTCCACCAGGAAAATACCCAGAATTCAATAGGTCGGGGTGGAAAGGGATCTACCACAATGATCTGAGTAGTGTGGCAGACTGAGTAGACTGCGACCCAATCTCAGATTATAGACGGATGTCAGTGTGAGTGGGTAAGAGTTTGTATGCTTGAAGCTAAACAAAAGACCAATGACTCATTTCTACGATTTTTATTACAAAAACAGATGACCAGCATCCAGAAATAACTATCCAAAGGTCAATTTTGTTGTTTGCCAACCGCCAAAGAAACATCAAAGAAGAAGAACTACTATCCAAAGGGAGATCCAGTTTTAGGGTACCGAGCGCACCAGGAATGTAAATGAACAGAGAGAACCGAGCACATCAAGAAAACAGAAAGGTGGGACAAACCCACAGCAGAACAGAAGAGACGTCTTTAGATTTCTGCAGAAAAGCTAAGTAAAAAAGTGATGCAGATCAGCAATGAAGCCCGAGAAGACGAGGCATCCAGAAGCTGCATCATTAAGTGGGATTGTTCTGACGCTCTTGAAAAGCCGGAAACAACAGGATCATTAAAGAGAAAAGAATCAATGGGAGGCGCTGTGGGAAGGCGAAGCAGAAAAGCTCAGAAGGTGGCAGAGGAACTGGCTGCGTAAAAAAGAAAAAAAAAGCGAGAGGACTTGAAGAAAGGGAAAGCTGAGTGACTGCACACCATGGCGTCTGCGTCTCATTTGGGTGTTTTTGGTTTTACTTAGTCTTGCACTTGAACTTTTTTCCAAAGGCTCTCTCCAGCTCAGGAACGGACAGAGTGAAGGTGAAGGAGCCGTCCGATTCTGACCTGACGACCCGGGCTTTAAGATGACGGCGACGAGGTGGCGGCGGAGGAAAAACAACATTAATTATGGCAGACGGAAACACTTAAAGATTCACATTACAAACCTAAAAAGGATGTTTGCTGACTGACACCATGAAGTTTAAATCCAAGTGTTTATATAAAGTAATCCGTCAAATGACTTGGACATGCAAGAGGGCAGAAAACACTTCCTGTCCTTGTTACATTTTGTTCTCTTCTGTCTTTTCTTAGTTCTTATGTCACGACTTGGGAAGGCTTTGTTTTCATTGGCCGACCCAACCGAGTTATCAACTGATGATATCACTGCAGCTCTCCTATTGGGCTCTGAAGTAGGACTCCAGTAGATAGAGTGGAGATAAGGTGTCAGCGGCACTGACACACGCATCAGCCAACGCTGCCAAATGCAACACACTGCTGACAGACTGAACAGGGTTACACAAGCAGCTCGGGTTTTAAGGGTCTGCCAAGTCCGGCATCTGCATCACAACTTTTACTTTCCCTGAAACGCCCATGTTTGCATAGTGCGGTGATGGATCCTACGTGCGATGTTTGTGTAAAACCCACCCAAGTCGTTGTTGTTCATCATAGCGTTGGAGCCTCGCAGGCGCGGGCCCTGTTGAGTGAAATGATAGCCGAACTTTAACAAGGTGGTGTTTTTCTCCAGGATGCTGGCTATCTCCATCTCCACTTTGTTTCCCAGCGGCTGGCTCTGGAGGGAGGGAGCAACGTAAAGAGAGAAGAAGAAGAAGAAGAAGAAGAAGAAGAAGAGTTAAGAAACCACTGGCATCAGCTTCACAAACTCACTGCTTCAAATTATGTAATCATCAACTTTTAGAACTTTTTTATTTCCACTTTTATTCACTATTCAATAATTATTACTTTCATTTAGCATAAATTCTTCCTTCTGATTTTAGTTAGCAATGAGTTCTATGGTGAAAGATTTTTATTATCAGGTGATATAATGACATTGTTAATCTGATTTTTGAGTATAATTTTGTTCATCACAATCCCGTCTTTTAATTATAAGAAAATATGTAATAAGTTATATTAAACACACCCCCACAGTTCTTATGGGGCATTCACAAACGCGTTTTGTGTGTGGTTTGCATTCATAGTCTATCTGGACGCACATCGAGGGCCCGCTGAGGTGAGTTTAGAGGGCGTTGGACGCCCTCAACGCGTCCAACACTCCAAACTGTCTACATAGACTTTGAGTGTAAACCAAACGTGCCTGACGCTCAAAATGCGTTTGGTGTGAACGCACCAATAGACTTTTTACAGCTTCTCAGAAACTTGTTAATTTCGCGCTTGCTAGCTTTGATAACTATGCTAGCTTTGATAACTATGCTAGCTATGCTAGCTTGAGGAACAAAATAGTTTGATAAATTTAACTGGATTTGTTAAATGTATCAGAGAGAAGAACATGGCAAATAACATTTCACAACATTACTTTATACATCTGAGCAACTTATGTTTTATAATAATTTTTGAAAAACAGATTAGATTTGAATAAAAAAAATTGAATTGAAAAATAATAAATGTTTGGTAACACCTTATTTGAAGGGCTGTTCATAAGACTGACATGACACTGTCATAAATATGACATAACACCTGTTATGAATGTGAAGGAGTCTTTATGAATGGTTATGACTGTTGTCATGCAGTGTCATTTGGTAAATAATGACACTTTTACTGAAGAGTTGGCACTTTTAATTGAGTTTTAGCGCAACTTTTAAAGCAACTTTGCATTAAAGAGTTATTATTTACCGAATGACACTTCATGACAACTGTCATAGACATTCATAAAGGCTTCTTCATGTTCATGACAGCTATGTTATGTAATTTATGATGGTGTTGTGTCAATCTTATGCACACCATGTCAAATAAAGTGTTACCCAATTTTTCTTTTTAATTTTTGGATTTTTTTTTCCATCTTCCCTTGGCAGAAAAAGGTAGCGTTTCCCTTTGTCTCCTTCTTCCTAAGTGATAAATATGGAAAAAGAACAAATGCCGAGGCATGTTATGAAAAATCGTCCACGAGTGAGTCACTGATGCATAAGTGTGCAGCGTGACACATCACTATGTAATCTAAAAGGCATTAGACTGAAGTGGTACAAATGGCTTGTGTAAAGTGAATCCGCCCACGGCGAGCGGCATGCGGGAGTCGGCTGGTACCTGATTGTCGATTTTAATCTCCAGTAGTGTGGTGTTATTCTGCAGTGATTCGATCAGGGACAGGATTCCAGCCCCGGTGATGAAGTTTGACTCGACATTCAGACTCTTCAGAGTTGAGTTCACCTTCAGCATCTCTGCCAGTGCCTGAGGAGAAACGGTGCAGGAACTCTGTTAACCTTTTGCTGTGAAGGGATGTTACTTTGTGTCTGTTTCGGTGAAATCCCCGAAGGCTTACAAATGCTACAGGGTCATTGCTCCTTGTTCCAACAATGCTGAACCTCTCCACCACGGTGTTCTTCATCAGTGCTTCGGCATAAGCCTTCAGTATTGGGATGGGGATATTCTGGGTAACAAGGAGAACACGGTGAAACAGCAACATGTTGCACTTTGAGCAAGACGTTTCAAACACAAATAGATTTACAACCAGCCTATCCACCGGTTTGAATTTAAAACACTTTTCCGTCATAAAAACTGGGTCTACACTTTGACAGTCACGTTACAGCCGTGCAGTTAAACCAATTTAAAAACACCGACCATGTGGAGGAAAGTGAGGCTTACAGAAGTTGCAGCGTCTACCCGAATTCTAGCAGAATTTTAGTTTTTCAAAATACAGGTTTTGTCACAAATGGACATTTACAATGATTCAGTTATAAGCCCGAGACATTAATTAAAAAGAAAAACATTAAAATTATGACACATACACATTAAAACTGAAATGATTTCAGTTTAAAATGTTTACATTTGACCAGGGTTCTATCTTTGTTTTAGATTAATTAACTCTAAGAATGCATTGATGAGACAATACGAAATAGCAAAATGTTTCTTTAAATAGTTTAAATCCATTATTTTGGAAAATCATTTGTATCCTATTTTTGTGCAGATGGATATAAAATCAAATAATATTTCATTTTGATAGTACAATTGTAGGACTTGGTGTTTTTTCAAATGAAAAATTCTCTAATTTGGAGAACAATGTACAGAATATATTTGGTCTTTTTCTTCTTTTTTCTTTTCAAACTGTCTGTAAATGTTGCACATGGATTTTTCGACCACATGGTCCGTTGTTGTTGTTATTGCGTGTGATGAAACCTTCCCACCTTTATGTTGTTGAGGTTGACCTCCACCAGGTCAGGATCGTTCCTCTTTACCCTCATCAGCGTTTCCTCGACGTCAGTGGAGTTGGGCTCCTCGTCGGGGACTGGTTTATACTGGGTACACTGGATCACACCTGGGAGGCAACACGAGATTAGCTGCTGTCGCTGTGAAGAAATTAAAAACTGGTTTTGTTACACAAAAAATAAGATATTCTTTACTCAAGTAATTCATTATGCTTTGGGAAGAGGGCCCCATCCAAACCACAAAGCCATTTTTTTTATTTCTTTATTACAGTTAAGTTTATAACAAACACATTGGGATTACCAGGCTAAAATAAGTCAATAATTCTCCTGTTCCCTCCCATTTATCACTGTTCATTTGAAAACCTTCGTGACCAACACTGTCAGCTGGCGGTTCGGATACGGATTTGTTTATCTACTGAATAAATTTGGAAGTGTTAAGCTCTCACACAGCTTAAAGCTGAGAAAGACCAACACAAAGCGTCTCCTCAGAAGATATACAACGGGTTTCGAAACGTGTTCGGGTCCAATTGACGAAGAAAATCTGTACAATAGTTTATAAAATTCATTGTAAACAGATGACTCAGTAGAGTCTTTTCTCTTTTCCAGGAGAAAACATGTGGGATTTGAGCCTGAAACAAAGGCAAAAAGCCCCCAAAGAGCTAAAGATAATTGTCTATTTTAAAGTTGGTATTGTCGTTCTGACTGATTGATTGTTTCATTTAAATCCAGGCCTGCTCTCGTCAGCGTTTCTCTGCCTGGCGCCACATAAACGTGTTTGTGTCAGATGAAAGCTGGTGCTGTCGCGAATGTTTCCATACAATCCTATAAACTTCAAGTGAGTTTGTACGTACAGTGTGAGCAGATGTGTGTGTGTGTGTGTGTGTGTGTGTGTGTTTTACATACTGTTGAGGCCTTGCTTGTTGACTATGGTGCTGCTGGCCAGCGCTTCGTAGTACTGCTGGTTGCTCATCAGGGTGTGCATGCCCAGGATAGCTGAAAAAGCAGAAGACGCCAAAATAAAAATCAATACAGTATTAAATCTGACAGATGAAAAGGCCAAAAGCACTTTTTACTTTTACATTCTTTTCCAGATTCAAATGTAAAACGTTTTAAAATCCTTTTAAAACAAATTTTTGGAGCTTTTGGTTTTTGTTTGTCTGAAGACAAGAGACAAAAATGTGAATGGCAGACTGATGAGATTGATAAGTGCATGCATGAACAAAAAAAATAAATAAAAAATGCGTTAAACCATTTTTAGCATGAAAAGAACTTGGAGAAAAAACTGAAACGTAGGACTCACTAAAACAAATTAAGTCGTACTGACTAATGTTTTTTCTTCAGTCAATTAAAAAAATGTATAACTAAATATATGCAAAAAGCTGTCAGCAGCTAAAGTCACAAATTCTAAGTCACTAAAAACTCAGTTTTAGTGTAAAAAATGCTGTTAATTGCAATTTATTGTTATTAACTAATCAGAATTTAATCCAAAACTGTATATCGACAAAACACAACAACGTTTTCAATTCAGAAATGCTGGCCGCAAATAATTTATGCCGTCCTGACAAATAGATTTGTTTTTATGTTATCAAAACAATAAACCTGTTTTTTAATGGCTCATAGCTTTGTGCACTTTTCCTTGTTTATTTTTGATGATTAATCCTCGATGGTGAACCTGCAGGTCCTTGATGTTGGAAGGTGTCTTTGCCATCACCCTAATCTTTACCCACTTCAACATCACTTCCAACCAGAAGAAACATCTTCCAAAAAAATCTAAACATTAGCTTGAACCTAAATCTATCAGGGGTGTGAGTAGGTTTGGGCTTAACTATCGGTATGAAATGCAGATTGAGATTAAATGTGACTGCAGGGGTATGAAAATAATCACGATTTTTCATGCCAAACATTGTTTGGCCATGCATCAACAAATGTGTCACGTCTAGTAAACATAGTACCAATGTTTACTAGGACGCAGTATTTTTGTTAACAGAAAAACCTCATTAACAGGAGAGGGATCCTCAAATATTCCATGCAAACACAGAGCGGTGTCATTAGATACCCAGGACGCGGCTCAGTTAATGGACAGAGATCCAGCAGAAGTAGGATAGGAGAAAATGGTGAAACCGATGGAGAGATGAAGGGGAGAATGAGGAGGGAAGATGGAAGGAATGCTAAAGGAAATGGAGAAATGAAGAGTTAATATGAGGGGAAACAAGGGCTGGAAAGGCCAAAGACGTCTTCATTACTCATTACAGAGTCAGCATGTGGAGGACATTTCTGAGGTGTTGCATTAGAGGGGATCCGTGTCGGGATGAACTACCTGCAATGTCGCAGAGTTCTGCATCGGAGGCACTGGCCAGGGCTTCCTCCAGCTCCGGCTCCAGGGTCACGTTCTCTATGATGGGGTCCACCCTCTGTTTTGGCACCCACGCCTTTCCTGCGGTCGGTGGGAAAGAGTTTCAGACAAAGCCATTTGCTGCACTGTGGCACCAGAACAAAACAACCGTATCATACCGTCTGACAGAAGGTCACATGTTTGCCTGAACCGACGTGAAGCTGTAGCTGCACAGTAAGTGTTTTACTGACACGTAAGCAGATTTTGGTTGCAAAAGAAGACATGAAATATTCCAACAGGTTGAGATCCTAAGATGTTTTGTTTCTTCTGATGAAAATCCAAAGTTCAAAGAAATCTGCTTTGCTGTTGTAAAAGGATTAGTTGTTTCTTTAGAGGAAACGTTGGTTCCTACCTCTCTTCTCGCCGGTGAACGGCACCAGGTCTTCTCTGTCAGGATGCTCCTTGGCCTGCTTCTCCAGATGGGCCAGCAGGTTGTCTCTCTGAAACGTTCCTGTTGGTGCTTTCTTGGTCTGGTCCTTCTGTCGAAGGCCGGCAGGCAGCAATGCATTCTAGGCAGGAAAGGAAATTTAGATCGTTTAAAACTTGTCTTTTTTCGTCTTCTGAGAGAAGAAGACGGTTTTCTTGTTTTTTTCTTAGTTTTGCTGGAGGTGTTAAAAGTAGCAGTATGTAACCTTTATGGACAATGTTTTTATTTTTACATATTTGTTAAAGCTGTCGCTATGTCGTGACAATCTGTTGGATAATCTAGCTCCTCATCTTCTCCGTGGTCCTATTGACATCTGCAGAAATACACCACTCCTGGTCAGAAACAACCAATCAGAGCCAGGAGGAGGGTCTTAACGCTGTCAATCATACTTGTGTACACCCTGACCCTTGCTCTGTGCTAGGCTACGGCAGAAAAACAGTTTTCCTGTAACGGTAAGTTGTTTCTCCGCCATCAGCACATTTAGGAACGCTTACCCAAAACTGATTGTCAGCGCAAAACCCTCCTCCTCCTGGCTCTTATTGTTTTTTCTTCTTATTGGAAGAGGAGCTTGACATTTTCTCAGATTATCCGTCTCATATTATATACTGTATACATGATGACAGAAAAGAAAAAGCTCTAACAGCAACCGCTCTCACACTCTTAGCATGATAACAGATATAAATAAAAATGACCACTCACACCGGAAAGACTAAAAAAAACAAAACAACAAAAAAAAAACAGCCACAACCTCATCCATCCACAAATCAAAAGAAAATCTAACTGCCAGAAAAGTAGGATGCAAAACAGATACTGCTAGTAAATATAACTCCCTCATCAATCTTCCTCTTATCTTTCCTCTGCCCAGCGGAGGGATCAAGGAGTTTCCCACACCGTTGCAGCACATTAGTTTTTTCATGATGGACCAGGAGAGAAAACCAGATCTCTTGGAGGCTCTACTTATAGCTCTGTATCTTATCAGGGTTCTCAGAACTCCCAAGCCTCCACGCAGCCCGTCTGCCTCTCTCTCTCTCGGCCCTTTGTCAGTCTACCCTCGGGGTTATTCCTCTAAACAAAAGCCGACGTGGAGCAACAATACTGCGGCAAAAGATTTTCAAGAACTTCCTGAGCAATGCGCAGTCGGTGAGAGGCACACTGTTCCTGCCGACCTTTCTTTGGTGTTCTCGGCTCTGGATGACGAGCCTCGGTACCAACTTATTTTTAACAACAGTAGAATCTGTTTCTCTCATCTTACACAGCTAAATCCTTCGCCGAGCCAGCCAGCAACAGGCATGGGCCAGTTCCCGGTATCAAGGTTTAACAAGGTTTAAAAAAACAAACAAAAAAAAAAAAACAGGATGGTTTAAAAACCAATAACGATCTCTTTAATAAGATTCCAGAGAGAATGCTGGAGTGAACAGACTTTTTCTAAACCGTATGGAAAACAGGTAGGGACAGGTAGGTGCGTCCCCCTTAGCAACTATCCACTTCCTGTTATCAGCAAGTGAATTTTCATGTTGGCGAAACATTCAGTTTTAAGCTAAATATTTAACATGCTAACATTTAGTTTGAAGATAAATATTTAACATGCTAACTAAATATTTGGTTTGAAGATAAATATTTAACATGCTAACTAAATATTTGGTTCGAAGATAAATATTTAACATGCTAACTAAACATTTAGCTTGAAGATAAATATTTAACAAGCTAACTAAATATTCAGTTTTAAGATAAATATTTAACATGCTAACTAAATATTCAGTTTTAAGATAAATATTTAACATGCTAACATTTAGTTTTAAGATAAATATTTAACATGCTAACTAAACATTTCGTTTGGAGCTAAATATTTATGATTTTAGCTAAATATTTAACTGTGACACATATAAATGAATTAATAATATGACTTTAAAAGACAAACCCATTATCACAGCCTAAATAACTCAAATCATTGATGCTAATTTTTGACTGTGTAACTTTATGAATCCACCCCACAGGCAAGAATGTTGATGAAAACTATAGCTTAAATTTTTATGTCAACAAAATCACCCATGTTAGCCGGCAAATAAAAGTTGCTTTTGCCTTGAGCACTAACCAAAGAACACCAGGTATCCGCAGCAGTAAATAAACCAGCCTGTTTCAATAGCTATAAACACAAAGAGCCGAGCCAAGTCTAGACATCCAACAGTAAGACAACACGTGTACTCAATGTTCTCCTGATGACAGTATTATTGCGCTCATGTTCAGTCAAAACAGCTGGCAGAGTTGTTTTTTTTTTTGTCCTACGTGGGACTTTTTCAGAGTCTTTACCAGAAGTGATGCAGGACGTGTCTCTCTACGTCACATCAAACGGACATCACATCACCCACACATCACACTTCAGCGCACAAAGTAATGTGTGCGCCCCTGACCGTCGGCCCGAACGGGCACAAACAAAATCCAGGCCTGTTTACGTCATGGAAGCCCCTGCAGCTGCTCACCGCTGGCATCCGTCTCACTAACACACATGCACAGTCCTCCACGCTGAGCCCCACCAGTCATTCCCTTGGCATGGAGCCGGGGCTCCTGTCTCTTTACAAGCAGCGAGACATCCATCCTAAAGCTAATATAGCTCCCCTCACAGCCATAGCTCACGATAAGTAACAGTGTGCTGTCAGTGCATGCAGAAATGCTATTAGCGCAAAGACAACACAGTTACCCATGATGCATTCTCTTTTCTGCGTCCGTACACACGACAATAAGAACAATTTTCAACAACAACTCTGGCAAAAGTATATATACATCTTTTTCACTTTTTTTTAAACATCTTTTTCACTTTTTTTAACATTTCAACCACAAACTTAAGAATAAAAGGAGGAATAAAGTTTGTACATTTTCATATTACTGCTCTGTGTGTGTGTAGTTCATCTGGTAGAAATCAAAATACCTAGCTTCACAGTATTCTAATTAAAAAAAAAAAAAAAAAAAGTTGCCGTGCGTCACGTTAACAGTTCCTCTAAGACAGCGTGACCCCATAAATTTGCAGTGAAGAGAAAGTAATGTGGACCAAAGCGTTATAAACTCACGTCAGGATCGAGCTCCTCCAGCTCGTCCTCTAGCCGCTGCAGCTCCTCCTCTGACAGCTTCTTCAGCAGCTCGTCCTCGTCTATGTCCCTGTACTTGTCCATCTCCTTCTTCAACAGCGACATGATGAGCCGCACACCTGGAAACAAACAGCGTCGGTGTCAATACGAGATGATCTCACATATAAGCATTTGGAAATTATATACGAGTTCATCTTGACGTTATTGGTGAAACATATTCGAACTGCATCCTCACCTCCACGACCTCCCCGGACCAGAAAGACGAGACGAAAAAGACAACCGAGCTGGAGAATGTGGACTTAATTTGAAAATATCTAGAATGATGGAGGCAGTGGACTGAAAAGAGGCAAAAAAATACAGATCAAGTACCCGGAATTTGGAAAGAACACCAAAAACAACAATGATAATTTACATTCACCTCAGTGATGCTCATTCACTGCACTAAAGGCAGCCAGGTGTCCAAACTGGGATGGTGTAGCAGCTGTAAGCAGCAGAGGCAAGAAGGTTTAGGAGAACGGTGTTTTGGATACTTTTAATCATCATCGCATCTGCAGGAGCTCGTTATTTACTGAGTAACTGATAAAAGGCTACACAGAAAACGGAAAACTGAGATGGTGCTCCCTCCTGAAACACACCGTAAACAGACACTATAAAGAATTGAGGCAACTGCGACACAGTGGGGAGCCTATAGCCATCTTGCAATTCAAAGGTTGTAGGTTCGATTCCAGTCTTCACCAGTGGAGTAGTGATGCCCAATCTGGGAACGGCACATAGCCGCAAGTTTCCTTCTCCTGTATCTGTGAGTGTGAATCCAGTGTAAAGCACTCGTGTATATGATTACACTTAAAGGGTCGCAACATCTTCAGGTAAATAACTGCATTACTTATTAAAGCTACAGTGTGTAACTTTTATGAAGAATATGGATTCTTTCTTTCTTTCTTTCTTTTCTTTTTTTTTTTTTACATATTTTGAAAACAATGACTTTGTCATGAGGCAGGTAATCTTTGAAGTAAATCCCATGGCCTGCCTCTCCCAGTTCTAACTGCAGAAATACACGCCTCAGTTTGAAACAACCAATCAGAACCAGGAGGAGGGCCTTAGCGCTGTCAATCAAGATTGGGTACACACTGCTCACACACTCCCTCTTTCTCTCTGCTGTACTATAGTGACGTCTAGACAGCTAGCAATGTCATGAATGCTAAGGCTAGTTAACATGACTGTGCATAAACAGTTTTCCTGAAATGGTAAGTTGTTTCTCTGCCATTACCACATGGAGCTGGTTTACTTTCAGACGTCGGTTTCCAGAGCGTCCCAGAACAACAAAACTGGATGATATTTTTTTTATTGTTTTTTTTGTTGTTGTTTTTTGTACCCAGTTATATCTACAGATGTTTACATTAGTATGGCTGGCATAATTGACAGCGCGAAGACCTTCCTCCTAGCTGTGATTGGTTGTTTTTGATCAACAGTGGTGCATTTCTGTATAGCTCAGGGAGGAGTAGCAGCAGCTTGATTATCTGAGTATCTGTCTTATAACAGTCACGCCATATTGACTGTTTTAACAAATATGTAAAAAACTTCTTCTTTTTTTCTAATAAGAGTCACAAACTGTAGCTTTAAGTATGACAAATATCCAATCCAGCTCCAACGTCCTGGCCCAGCTAATCTGGATTTATAACAAATGAGAGTTTACTAATTATTCCTTTGCTGAACCAGAGACAGCACACTAAGTGAAAGTGTGTTTCCTGCCAAGATGACTTTGGAGACCCACTAATTTGTTTCTGTCTTCAAAAGTTCCTTCAAACGCTACAGCAAGGGAGATGTGTTTAGATGCAGTTGACAAATATGTCCCTGCATGATAATTTTGGAGTCTGCAGTAAATTATTAATCACATTTTTTTTTCATTAAATGAGCATAGATATGATGCAAGCTGTTCATTTTTCTCTGTCTGCCAGCAGGTGTTTTTCCATGGTCAGGAGAAGCTGGGTCAAACCCACCTTTATTTTGTTCTGCTTTCTGCATGATCAGTGAGAGGACACGTTACCAAAACATAAGATCAAGAACTGGGCTGGAGTCCAAATAACACTGTCTGCAACTCTACTGGAAGACACTGGTGATATCAAACAGACCACTCTCCTGTATCTGAGCTTCTACAAGCCTCTGCTTCAAAACAGGACGTACAAACTCAAAGCCCAAACTGGAATAGACTGATCCATCTGAAACGGTTTCAACAGCAGAAGTATTTTTTTTCTTGCATGAAATACTGATACGTTTCAGTAGTCAGAGGGGTTAAAAGCTTTTGCAAACTTTCAATTAGCAGGAAAACTGGACAGGAAGCGAGTTTAAATGTCATAAGACTGTCAACTAACAGTGAAGGAGTTCTGTTAGTTGACAGATTCAACTGGAAAATGCTGTGTTAATCCGTTTCATCGTGGTCTTTGTGTGAAGTGGCTCTTAATGGCGTTCCTAGAGCTGTGTCTTTGGTGCAGCGTAGTGGAAATGTTTAAATACATCAGTATGAATGGCATGCTAGTTATAGAATTACATATTCAAGCTCAAATGAATACATAAACCCACATCACATTTTTAGTTAGGTGTCATTTAGCAAGTTGCAAAGAAAATATACATTTTGGGTAACACTGTATTTGACGGGGTGTGCATAAGACTGTCATACCATCTGTCATGAACATGAAGGAGTCTTTATGAATGTCTGTGACTGTTGTCATGAAATTTCAGTTGGTAAATAATGACACTTTTAATGCCGCTTTGCATCATTTTGCAAACAGTGTCACTTTAGTGCAAAGTTGACCCTTTTAATGGACTTTCAATGCAACCTTTAGAGCAACTATGCATTAAAAGTGTCATTATTTACCAAATGACACTTCATGACGACAGTCATAGACATTCATAAAGACTCCATGTTTATGACAGGTGTTATATCATGTTAATGACAGTGTCGTGTCAGTTTTATGCACACCCCGTCAAATAAAGTGTTACCACATTTTGTAACCATCAAGTCTTTTGGTATAATTTTGACTGGACATTTTGCCCACTTGTTTTTTCAGAAATAGAAGAGTTTATTTAATTTTCTCCTAGCAAGGTCTCGTCTTTTATGCACTACGAGCAAATTTTGAACTGTTAGAAACCAACTATGTCTGTTCATGAAGCTGTTATTTGAGGTGAAGTTAAATATACGGAAGCAATCCTTCATCTTCATTATCAACCCACTTTGTGCAACGTACTACTACTGGCAGCTGAACTAACCCCCAGCATGATATAACCACCACCATGCTCAACATTGAAAGCCTCATTGACAAACACTCTTTGTCCTGGTGGACAAACAGCGCTGTCGTCTGACAATAAAACCTTGGAGAAGCCTTCAGAGTGTCGATGTTTGATTGTGTTTATTTTAGAGAAGAAGCTTCCTTCTTCTTCAGGGACCCCTCAGTGATGTAAAACTAGCTACTCTGTGAGTTATGACTGACGTGTTGGAGCAGATTTTAGCTTACATCAGGCAAGAGCCGGTGTTGCTTCTGAGCTGAACACCAACATGTTTTAATCTGAGAGTGAGAGGGTCAGATGGTTGAACCTTGGAGACAGATGAGTTGTGTCAACAGCACAATGATCCCAAAAACATTATTTTCTAAGCCCTTCTCCGCCACGTTCAGAAGAGCGTTTCCACCATCAGTTGGATTTTCTCTGGGCAGGTGGAGTCGAAACCAAAATGCCTAACATGGCGTCATATTAGTGCGACGGCAAACATGACGCACGAGTATTTCTCACGCTTGTCGCAACCAGTGGGGTTTTCCGGTAACCCAAGCAATGAATTGTGTTGTGCGACACCAGTAGATCTACCATAACTGTACCGTTGTTCTGCTGACCTACAACAGAAGAGGTCCCAGGTGTGGTGCGGTACGGGTCAGTTGTTTGGGTCGCTTTTCCTACGGAAAACGGGCAAAATAGCGTATCGAACCACACCGACCCATGGTGTACCGTCCAGTGGAAACGAGCCATTTGTGAACTCTGCTTTTAAAAAAGCTGCGATTGAGGTCAATCACTAAAATATCTTAAGTAGAACATTAAATGCTCAGGAAAACTGGAATTTAGTCACCTAAATAGTAGCTAAACATATTAAGGAGCAATGTTATATCAGTATGCTGCATTACTTCAGCTGTTGAATTGTACAGATTTCTCAAATGGCTCAGTAGAAAACAGCTGAGGGACAACTGGTCCACCTATGTTAGCTGCATGTCGTAACATGCATAAAAGAGCTTATCTTCTGCATTAAAGTGTCTATTTCACAGATAAACAGTGGGTATTAAAACAATATGTGACATAATGACAGTGTGGATAGATTGAGATATCTGTACACTTCACCAACTTTTGTCAAAGTTGTCAGTTTTTGTTTCTGAAAACAGCAAACTCATTTATGACAGTGTTTTAATTTTGGAGACCCGTGAAGGCTCATGTGTCATAACTTGTGTGGTGAGTGAAATGTAAACGTACTCTGAGCTTTCTTGGACTTGACTGCATTCAAGTCCAAGAAAGCTCAAAATATGGGGTCAAAATATGTTTCATGAAGGTTACCTCACGCCGCTGGGTGTATGCATGTGGTTAGGTTTGCATTTTGAAATGTACATTACTTAGGAATAAGCATGGTGAATATGAAACATTGAGAATGAGAAGAATATTCCTCCATATACAAGAAACAATATGCTTATCCAAACTCAAAAGAAAAATCATGGCTGCTCATGAACTAGTTTGTTGTGAAGAGATATATTTAATTTCTATAAACCCTGCAAACCTGTCGGATAAGCAGAAAAATATACTTCCGGCATATAAAGTGAAAGTTTTTCACACATTTTCAAGAAGACGCTCTCTTAAAGCGCTGCTGCTTTTGAATAAAACTTTCTCCATGCAAAATCAACACCGTCAAGTAGAAAAGCATCGTCACCTATCTGACTACTTTATTGCTCGCAGACAGTAATTTTTGCATTAATTTACGTACCTCCTCCGGTGCTATTAATAGACGGTCCGGCTCTACTGGGTGACAGCAACGAATACTTTGACCAGATATGGTTTCCCTTTGGAGCCGCAGTGAGAGCTGCGCTCGGCTGCAGGCGCACAAACCGGGGGGAATCCGCCCGAAATAAAAACCCGCTCCGCTACACGGAACCGGCCATGACCCGTGGACAGAGTGGTTACCGAGTTCAGCAGAAGTCGAGGCGTACCCTCTCCTCTCCCGTCTTTGCTCAGCTCTTAGTGGGTTTGTGGAAAGATGAGTCTAATCTCCCTAAAACGGCAAAGTCAACTTAGGGAGAGGTGATCCTCCTCCTCCTCCTCCTTCCTCCCCCAACACGCGGCTGCCCTGTCACTCCAGTGATGTCATGAAGAGGCGCTGCGTTCATTATCGGACACAATTGTTTTTGTGGTTTTCTCGTACTGAACTTTTCGATGTCTTGAAACGTCAAGGGGCGTTTCGTACCCGCTTTGGCCACAAGTATGTTCTTTGTATTTAAAAATATATATATATATATATATATATATCCGCCGAAAGTAAATGGTTAGAGGATCCAGGTTAATATTTACCAATAGGTGGTAGTTCTGGGCTAAAATTGGTTGGATTAAGGATAATAATCTGCTCCAATTTCATAAGAAATAATCTGTTGAAAATGGCCAAAAACCAAAATATGTTGTAATCCTCCCCTAACCAAAAAAATCACTTTACTACACACAATTTTCTAGATTTTCCAATGGCATTTTATCCATAACACAAAACTTACTAAGGCATCCGGTGATATTTTGCAATCAAAAACCATTGATATTTTCCTATTTTCACTATTTATTTAGCATTTTTTCACACAGTGTTTGTGTCTGTAAAGAGTCAGACAGTATGCAATGATAGTTTTGTTACCACCACCACTGATGAAATTTAAATATTTTTCGTAATTCCAAAAATGCCAGGTCAGATTAACATTTTAAGTCCATACGCTTATCCCTACCACTGTTACAACGCTTCTTCAATCGACTCAAACTAGAAAAACTACTTTTGCGCCTCCGAGCAGGCATGGACAGCCATTCCAGAGCAGAGTTGGTGAGTAGTTGTGAAGTGGGTAAATTAGGCTAACAGAGCTGCAGTCCTTTGCTGATGCATCACCAAAGTTTATTGAAAATGTTGTTTTTACAGAAACTGTATTCTGTCATTTCTTTGCAATCACTAACTCGCACTTAACAAAAATCACGGTGAATACATTTTTTTCAAACAAAGTAAAACATTGGAGATATGAACCATAATGACAATTCAACAACTATGTACACACATGCAGTATACTGAAGTAGTTTATAAGACACATATTTCCCAAAAGGTAGAGTATTGCATGCATAAACCACAGCAAACAGAAACACACATTAATCTGACATATTTGACAATTCAATATCCATGTTCTTAAATAATGGAAATGTAAATCCTTCCCTGAACAAATTTTACAGACCATAACACATCACAAACATTAGAAAATTACTCACACATATGTAAATCAAGCCTGATTATAAGCCACCTACAAAACAACATGAACAAGCAAACGCAGAGGAAGTACAATTTTTCCTTCCAAAGTAAAAGTCGTTCCATGCATTTTACTTTAGAAAGAATCAAAACAAAAGTAGTTTGTGTGTTCATACAACTGTCTAAGAGCCCAAAAGTCTGCTTACTTTACCACTGTCTGTGTGGACATCTAGCTCGCAGCAGAAGACAGCTCGTTCTCGATGTCGGCCATAATGCTGTGAATCCAAATGTCCTTCTCCTCCGATGAGGTGTCCACCAGGTAAACCGTCAACCTGCGAGCCGACAGCTCACCTTTGACTTCTGATGCTTCCCGAACGCTCTCCACCTGTGCTACCAGCGCTCGCCGCTCCACGTGATTCCTGAACAACGAAGACGTCTCCTCTGACCACTGACGCTGTGCCACACCTGGAGGATTATACAGATACAATGCTTTTTTTTTATCTTTCCAACTCCAAGTAGATTTAAAACTCCTTAGGACTTTATCAATTATTCAATGATTTCTTTGTTTATTGGCGCTCAATTATTCATGAGGGGAAAAAAATCAATAATTGTCCTGAAAATAGCTCAAATGGTTAGGATTTTAAAATGTAAACAGTATTACAACATGACTCTTAGGTCTGCAACTAACAATTATTTTGGTAATCGATTTTTCAATAGATTATTCTGATGATTGATCGTGATATTGTAAATAATTTACCTAAAAGAAAGTTGATAACTCACCTGCTAGTTGTGCAGCAATAGCCTGGAAGGGCAGCTGTCTGAACTCCTCTATCAGAGGCTGGATTAGACTGCGAGGGACCAGTTCGTGCTTACCGTAGTCCAAATCATAGACAGAAACCAAGCCGTTGGACAGAACCCCTTTCACCTGCACGCGGTGCCAACTGAGCAGAGATTGACATCAATAAATCAACTAACCTCACAACAGCAGAAGAACATCCTATATTTCAGATCTAGTTGTTGATTCATACAATTGTTAACATCTTTTTTTTTTTCTCTTCCTGGGGTTTAGGTTTACTTACTTCTTGTCAAATTTGGCAGCGTAGACATGTCCTTTCTGGATGTCCATTGTTGTGCTTGTATTTCCGCTCTGGTTGTAGTAAAGGACCATTTCTCCCCTCAACACCTCAAGTTTATGGAGGTCCTGCCAAGGCTGTACCACAAAGTAACCTGGGTGGCAAGCCATTGGCACAAAGACATCCATGTTCTGACCAGGCTGAAAAGAAAGGAAGGAGACAATAAGATGTGGATTTGGAAGAAAACTGTGTAAATCTGTGTCTGTAATCATTTTGTGCTTCTACTACAACAGGCGGAGGTCCACAGGGTCCGAACCGGCAGTGGGTAAGTTGGTACTAAAGTACAATGAATGTATGGTAGGTCCATTTCATTCCTACTAACTGCCAGAGGACGGTGCTGAAAGCACTGAATCAATGATCCAACCATCCAGTGCTTTCATCACCGCCCTCTGGTGGTCAGTAGGGGTTCATAGAATCACAGTTACATGCGTAATTTTCCATATTTCTAAAGTGGAGAATCTTTAAATAGCAAAAAATGTTTTGATAACTTTTTCAGTCTCAAAAAGCTGCTGAAGCAGAGGAAAGTACTAAACTTTCCAGAAGCTGGAGTTGTTCAATCAAAACACTTTGAGCACTACATTTAAATCTTCAAAAGTTTCATTATTTTCTTTTAGTCCAATTTAAAACAGAAAGGTACAATGCTACAATGATAAAATATTAGAATAAAAAGTCCACTGCCTTATCTTCCCTCAGTTTGTTTTGAAATCACCTTTTGCAGAGTCAATGCCAAATGTAGCATGACGGGAAGAAAAAAGTACATAACATTAAGAAAAAAAAGATGGGACGGCAAATAAAGACAAGTTTTTAATATTTTGATTGACTTTTTATACTTTGACCTGGAGGTTGATAGAAAATGAGAAAAAGAAGGTAAACTACCTTCAATGGTCAACAAAATGTTTCTGACGCCCAAAAGCATCCACAACTAATGTAAGAGCCAACAGAAGAACGGTGCAGCCAAACATGTTGGAGTGTTTGGAATCGAGTGTTTGGAATCCTAGTATAATATGAACAGCAATGGTTTGTGTTTAACATGGTTTTATTCAACATATATTGAACCTCAAAGTGCAAAACTCAACCCCTTAAACCATTGAAGTAAAAATGCCTTCCCATGGCAAACTCACATTTAGCCCTGACTAGCTAAACCAGACAGGCAACCAAAGCAAACGAGTTAAGTGTGTTACTTTATTAAAAGACATTATACGTTTGTATATTTAACTTGCTCATATGCTGAAAACAATCAATGCTATACACCTGTGGAAGGTCTAGTGGAGGGGGTAATGGGAGTGGCTGCGTTCCTGCTTTTATGGCTGCATCGTCTTTGCCACGTGGCACAGATGAGGTCTTCAAGGGGGGACTTGGGACCGGGTTTCCCAGCGTCCACTTCTCCACAAGAGAACTGAGATCTACAAGACGACAACAACAAAAAATCTGCATCAGAAGGATTTCTTTTCAGGGTGCATTCACATTTGCTCTGTTTGTTCTGCTTTAATCGAACTCTGGTTCGTTTAGGGAGGGTGCGAATGCCAGATCGAACTCTGATGCGGACCTAAAAAGTGCCCTCAAACCTTGCTGCGGTTTGAATGAATATGTAGATGCCTAGTGGGCTAGAGACTGCTCAAAAAGCATGAAGCGAAGTACAGGGCAGGGCATTCTGGGTAAATACAAGAACAGGTTTGTGAAAAGGTTTGGTTTGTTTGACACTGCAGTGTGGAAGCAAACCACACCAGCTGAAAGTTTAACAAATGTTGCAATTTTGCTTCCCAATCGAACCGAGTCTACCGGACTATCAGGTGTGACAACACCGTTAATGTCTAACGTTACCTGTGTCCACAATGTTGCTGCGAGTGCTGGTGACGGTGGTGTTGTTCCGTGACACAACTTTCTGCCACACCTCTGACTGAGCCAGGTGATGGTTGATGCTTTCGTCAAGCTTCTGACCGTCACCACCTTCGAAGAGGTACATAAATACCACTCTGTCTCCTTTGTACTCTTCTAATTTGGATATCTGAAATAACAGCAAGGGGAAAATAATAATAATTCAAAGTTAAAGCCAAATGTGAAGATGATTTAGATCTCACCAGTCACATATATTAATTAATGACTAAATTTGAAATTTTAAACCTGAAATCCTAAACTCTTTGAGGACATTTTCTGCAACTGAGACAGACACTACCTTCATTTTGAGCCGTTCTGCTGCAAGAAGAGTCTCATTTAGCAGCAAAAAGGGTTCCTGGCTCCAGCCTTCTTTTGGAACGGTGAGGTCAGCCAGTCGACATTTAACAGCCTACAAAAAAAGGACAAATATGAAAATTTACCCAACAGGAAGCAGATGGACTAAAAATATGGTTTTAAAGCAGATTTATGAGGAGCCCTATTATTTTTTTTTTAAATATCAAACCTGTGGCGGGATGATGATGAAATCCTTCAGAAAATGTAGAGGAATCTCTCGAACATCGGTGAATGTGACAGTTGCTGGGATGCCCAAGTCAGTGAAGAGAATCTCCATCACGCGGTTCTCATGCATGTACGTAATCTGCAATTTGAATAAAAATCATAACAACAACAACAACAAAAAAAAAGTCAGCTTTTTCTCTGTAAGCATGTTAAATAATAGTCCAGCTCTTACTTCCGCTCTGGCCCATTTGTCTTCGTAACGGCCTAAACAGAACTTTCCGCAGAAGGGACTGGAAACCAGGGACTCTGATGTGAC